AGGCACAGTGATAGATTTTAGAAGAGACGAAATTGGAAAAAGTTCAACTTCTAATGTAAAATTTTTCACTTAGCCTATCTACTTTCTTCTGCAATACTACACATTTAATTTTCTGTTTCTGGCATGATAACCTGATATGATCAGTCCATACATACTTACAATCTTCAGGTAACATAAGAATTTTTCAGTATATTAGTTTTTATCATTTAGGGGATAGGTGGTTATTGGTTTCTAAAAATCATTTTATACATTTCTTTGTATCCTTGTTTTCTTTAAGATTGTGTCCTGAACTTTCTGGAAGTGACTCTTACTAAACAAATGACATCTTGATAATATAATGCAAAAAAAACAAGATTGCCAAAATTGCAAAATGATAACAAAATGAAAAAAATTCTCTTAGAAATAGTTACATGAGCAATTGGTTTTGGAGATGAAAACATCATTATGGCTTTGCTCTTATGGAAGTTACAATTTAGGAAGTTGAAAAATGAATGCATGAATCATAAATGAAAATGGCATGCACAGCAGATATAGACTTCAACCAGGAAAATTATGAATCATCATAAAAATGTGTTACTAAGTATTCTGTCCATAGTATTTTTGAATGTTCATTATCTTCTAATTATTTGGGAAGAAACATTTTTGTTTTCATGTGATTTTCCTGTGTTTTCTCCATATATTCATGTAAACTTTGAAGCAGAGACTTCTAAGCAATACTGATATCAAAGGGGTGGGTATACTGGTATGTGACTGAACCAGCTCATTGAGTGACATTTTTGAAGTAGTTAAAGACACCAAAGAAATATGAGATTTAATTAGATATGTTAGAAATTATGTCAGAGTGAAGAAACAATGCCTTGGTTGTGTGCATTTTACACTTGTGTTTGTAACACACTGAAGTGAATATGTACAATCAAATAATGTTTAATGAGTACATATTATAACATCCGTGTATGAGTGCAGGGTGAGGATGGACAGATGAGGGAACTCTTAACAGGTTCTCTAATAGTTAACTGATGGGACGCTAATTAAAACATCAAACAAATCACTGATGGGGCAAGTGGCATGAGTGTGTTATAATGTCTATGAATAACAGTGAGATCTCTGAGCCTAGCAAAGTGAAGAGTTGGGAAAACAGTGTCTATAATGTTCAGTCAAATTTCTGTTGGCCAAGTGCACCCACCTGCACCGTTACATCACAGCATAAACTGCATTATTATTCCTCCCCATATAATATTTCACAAACATCTGATCAGCACCTACTCTATCAGACATTTTGGGGGGAATCTGAATGAAGAAATGAAATAGGGTTCCCTGATTTAAAGTAAAAATACATGCCGGTAAATAATCACGGTGCAGTTTAAGAAGTGCTCTGATAGAGGCAGGTATAAATTGCTTTATTCCTTGTTTCCTAATGGTCCCTAGTCATTCCTAAAATTACTAGGACAGGAAGACATTCTCCACCACAGCTGACAAGTAAAGATGATTGTTTCAACTCTGCTCAACTGTTCCATTTTCTAGTTTTATTGCCTCTCACCACAAACGCTAGGCAATGATATCATCCCATGTTGTGTCTGCCTCAAAAAATAAGTGAATACTTGGCAAATTTATATCCAGTAGTTTTTTCCCCTTGTTTTATTTCTTAGAAACAGTTAAGATGTTTCAATCACTAGATGTCGGTATATTTTCTAATCTTCTAGATACACTGGTTGATAAACATTGTGGTGTTATTTTACTTGTAATTCTTTCTGTGAGTGGAAAAATACTATTTGTGCGTATCCTGTTAACTTTTTTCTTAACTAGATGTCCTCACCCAAGCTTTGGCTTGTGGTTCTGTGCAGCGGAAGTTCTGGCTTGTTGACTGTGTTCTTAAAGGGTGGATTGTAGCTTAAGGACTGTGGCCACCGCTGTTGGGAATGTTATGTGCTGGGAGTAGAGCTCCAATAATAGGCAAGAAAAATAACATTTACTTGCCATGTTCCAATCCTGAGTCAGAACCCACGCTAGGTTTTATTATATAATAGTATGATTTATTACTTTCAAGAGCCTTGGGAGGACATTATTGTTTTTGATTTGCTGTCGAGGAAACTGAGGAGACTCAGGGTCACACAATGTCAAAACTCAGATACAGTATAAGCCTGTTTTACTCAAAAGCCCACTGGCCTAAAGCCTTATTATTCTTTTTTTTTTGAATCAATATTTTTTATTATGATATTATAGGGTACAGTCAAGGGTTAGGTATACAAATATGCTTCGTTCAGGCACTCTTGTGGATAAGAGGTGTCTCCCCAAGGCCTTATTATTCTATAGGGCAATAAAAAAAAAGGAGCCACACGGAAAGAAGAAATAAGTATAAAACAGCCTAATTGGTCATAACTTGGTCACAGTCATTGAATGTAGTCATTTTGAAAAAAAGAAAAGAATGTTTTTGAGTTATAAAATTATAGTTTTTTAGTTAAGAATTTTCCTTATATTCTCCATATTTTCTGTTATTTATACTAAATATGCATTGTTGTTTATAAAGAGAAAAGTGTGGATCTATCTTTGAAACCAACTAAATTTCAATGTTGTATGCATTACAGAGAAAGTCGTTTTTATCATAAGGGTCTTAGAAGGAAAAAAAGTACAAAAATGCAGAACTATTAAGAGCAAAATATCCTTTGGTGTTTTTGTTCTATTGAGAGGAAATGCGACTAGGCAGTAAATATTTCGTTTGTAAAGATTTTCTGCCTGCTGCTTCCTAAGGGGGTTGGGACAGGGAGTGGTTGCAGGGGAAGAGGTGGTTGGTAAATTTAATCATCATCACTCCATGAATGTTGAAACAGCCACAGGGGGTTGTTGTATGACTTGGACTTTTCCCAGCAGGAAAGCCCTCTCTCAATGCACTTGCTGATAAAGACAGCAACTCAAAAGTATTCTCAGGATAGTTAGACCAAGGTAATTCTGAAGCAAGAATTTATGAGACACCAGCATTCCACAATTGGTTGACTTTTCAAGATTTGTTTTGGTTCTTTCACTCTTTGGGCCACATCCACTAATTACTAAATACAGCAAAGTATGTTATTTGAAGCAGTCAGCAAAAGGGATATGAGAAAAAAAATTATACTACGCACATCTCATTTTCCAATATTTTCTCCCCCAAAGTTCATTTGATTTGAGGAAGTTTATTGTTTTTGCAACCTTTTCTGCTGCTTATCACCAAAAATTTCTCTATTAAATGCCTTACTCAGCACTCCAAAGTGACTGGTATGGTGCATTGAAAACAATGTTGACAGCAATACATAATTAATAGTTGAAAATGTTAAAGAACAGACCAAGTGTTTTGCATCTATTATCCATTTATTCTTCACAATAATCTATGAGGTAGACACTCATAATATCCTTATCTCACAGATGAGGAGGAAATTAAAGCAGAAAAGGCAAACGAGTGTGGCAAACCCTGGGCACCATGCTAAGGACTTTGGTCATTTTATACAGAGAAGTGACATACTTGTACCTGGGTTTTGAAGGACAATTTGGGTGACAATGCATAAATTGTACTGAAGATGAAAAGCATCAAGTGGGCAAAAGTTGGTTGGGAGACCATTGTTTACTCTCTCTTTCCTTAGCTACTCCAGCTTGGCAGAATGATGAGCTGCCATCCAAACATGCTGAGGACTTCATGATCTTGTGTCTTTCCACTTATTATTTACCTTGTGAGAGTTCCAATCTTCCCTCTGTTCCCCTGGGAAATGTGTGCTCCCCCTTCAAAAGCTAGTTTATGGGACACTTTCTGCCTGCAGAATCAGCTAGCATGCCCCTTGCCTGTGTGACAGGCAGCATGAAGTGAGAACAAAATCAGAGAGTGAGAAATCACACTAATCTGCTCAGCCTCTGACAAGCTGTGTCCTTTCCAAGATTGTCGCATCATCTCTGTATAGGGAATATTACCACCTAACTCACAATATGGATGTGGAAATATTAGATAATATCCTAGCACTCCATAAGTCTCCATAAACTCTGTCTATTTTAATTAGTCATCCTAAGGACCCCACCACCACCACAGAGTTTGAATTGTATCATTCTTGGTTTTCTCTTAGGTGTTTAATCCTACTTCTACACAAACATAGTCATATTAGGTTGAAATTGCATTAGCTCATATGCAAGGGTCTGTATCCTTCTCTTGCCTCAACTAGAATCTTCCTTCTGGTCCCTTGTGGTAGGTTGAATAATGCCTCCACTGTTGACATCCTCATGCCCTATTTCTAAAAACCTATACATTTTTACTTGACATGGCAAAAAAAAAGTCATTTCAGATGTGTTAAAGATCTTAGATGAGAAGGTATTCTGCACGATCCAAGTGGGCTCAATATATTCACAGGGTCCTTATGAGAAGCAGGCAAGGATAAGACATCAAAGGGTTGATGCAGCGATGCAGTTTGAAGAGGGAGGAAGGGGCCATGAGCCAAGGATGGTAGGTGGCCTCTGGAAGCTGAGAAAGGCAAAGGAATAGAGTCTTCTACAGAGCCTTTGGGAAGAACACTGGATTTATCTGAAGACACCTTGAGCTTAGCCTGTAAGACTCATTTTGGACTTGTGGTCTCCAGAATTGCAAGAAAATGAATTTGTGTTAGGTCTCTGAGTTAGTGGTAATTTGCCATAGAACTGATAGTGAACTATTACACCCATTTGTAACATTTTCTTTCCAATGTATAGCAGTGTCTTCCTAAAATATGAATGAAAAACCACCTTCACCTCTCCTGGTTTCCACAATCTTACTATATCAGATGTTAAATAATTATTGGGCATAAAAGCAGAGTCTGATTTATTTACTTAACTATTTTTAAAAATCAGTCTACTAATGCCTAAGTGCTAGTATTATTTGTTTGGCAAAGCTAATTATAACATTATAAATAAATAGGTATCTATGAATTACTGTGATTGTGTAAATATATAAACACATCAGCCAACATACAACACCATGCAAAGCCAGTCTTTATTAAACCAAACCTTCCTTCAAGATTTTTGACTTAAAATTCTGGATATTTTTTCTTATATGAAATGATGATGTTTCAGTCCTCTTTTTGTTCTATGGTTACTTAGACTCTACCACAACTTGGTTTGTTTCATTTATTTACGATTAGAAGGTTAATATACACATCAGAAGAGTCTTTCTCAGTTAGTTTGAAAATAGAAACTACCCAAAACATGTTACATGGCAAACACGCAGGTTTAGGCAGCTGGCAGCTAATTCTCCAGAAGTTTCCTAATTACTGTCTTATATAGGGAGGCCTGTGGGTCCAGACACATTTTCTTCCCATTCCTCAGCGTGGCTCTGGCAGGGAAAAGAGAGGAGGCACGACTTTCAGTTCTTGGGTGTGTGGAAGGGATTAGACTGGGGAAGGATGGGCAGAGGGGGCAGAAGGTGGGCACTGACTGGCCTGCGAGGACTCACATCAGTTGGGCAGTGGAGCAGTGAGGACCGGACTTGATCACTTCCAGGCTGGTGATGCGCTTGGGATGGACCCGGGAGGTGGTCTTCAGGCACACACATCGCAGATCCCCATCTCCTTCCTCCTGTTCAACTGAGGGCAGAGGAGGGGTGGTGAGGAGAGGGGAGTAGGGGAGGGAGAGTGACTCCATGAGTGGCCGAGGGCCCTGGGGGTCTTGCCCTACCTTTGGTCTTCATTTCCTCAGCCTCACCCCCCGGGAGCGGTGTTGGCCAGGAGTAAGGCAAACGTGATCAAGTGCAGCTGGCCTCCTCAGCCTCCTGGGCCTTCCCAGCCCAGGCTCCCCGCACTCCCTCCCGCCTTCCTGCCCGCCCTCGCTGCCCGCCTGCCTCCGGTTCTCACCGCCGGCGATGGCGACCACAGCTGACAGCAGCAGCAGCCCCAGGAGCAGCAGCCTGGAGCCAGACCAGGGTCGGGAGGCCCGGGAGACCGCTGGGAAGCTCATGGCGCCGGGTTCCAGGGAGAATTGAGCTCCAGTGCAAGCCGGCTGGGGCTCTGCGGGCCAGTGGCTCCTGGGACTCACAGGGCACTTTTTACCCCCTGTGTCCTTCCTGTCCGGAAGCCTGGGTGGATGGTAGGGGCAGAAGCAAAGGCGCTGCTGTGAAGACTTGGACTCTGGCCAGACGAGATTAGAAAAGAAAAAAAAAAAAGTCATTGTCAGCTGCTTTGGCTGGGAGCCGGTGGAAGGATCCACATCTCCAGCCTGAACTTACACACAGGCACGTTTGTGAAGTTAGGAGGAGTGGTTGACTAGAACAAGAGGAAAGATTTCTCTGTTCTTATAATATGAGGGCTTGTGGTCCCCATGCAAATTATACAGCATGTGCCTCCAGGACCCAGATGGCTTCTGTTTCCCTCCCAACCCCCACCTGTATTACCAAGAGCTGCCCATGGACTCCTGTCTTTCTTCTGGACAACCACTGAGTTGAGTTTGTCAGCTGTGTGTGTAAGGGTACTTTTGTTGGTGTAGCAGTTTTATAGAGATGTGGAGTAAAAGTAAGGATTAACTATAAAAGGCAACACACAAGTGAGGTTTGGGTCTCCAACTGGCCCTCACTTCCCCTGGTAAAGGGCCGGGCACCCTTTGTGTTGTTACATGTTCCCCCTCCCTCCCCCCGTAGTGCCCAGCGACTGCCCATCCCTTCCTTGTGCTAGTGTGATTAATGTTCGGGTCCCACTTGTGAGTGAGAACATGTGGTATTCTGTTCTTTGTTTCTATGATAGATCACTAATGGTCTCCAGATGGTATCCAGCGCCATCCAATTTGCTGTGAAGTCCATGATTTTGTTCTTCTTTTTTTTTTTGTTTTGAGTTGGAGTCTCACTGTCACCCAGACTGCTGGGCTCCGGCGATCTTTCTGCCTCAGCCTTCCACGTAGCTGGAACTACAGGCGCACGCTACCATGCCCAGCTAATTTTTTGATTTACTGTAGAGATGAGGTCTTGCCTGCCCACGCGGGTCTCGAACCCACGAGCTCAGGCAATCCACTCACCTCAGCCTCCCAAAGGTGCAGGATTATAGGCTGAGCCACCGAGCCTGGCTTGTTCTTCTTTATGACTGCATAATACTACATCAAGTATACATGACACGTTTTCTTTATCCAGTCCACTTTCGATGGTTCTATGTTTTTGCTATTGTGAATAATGCAGCTATAAACATGCTTGGGCAGGTGTCTTTTTTGTAGAATGATTTATGTTCCTCTGGGTATATTCCCAGGAGAGAGATCACTGGATCATGTGGAAAGTCAAATTTTAGTTCTTTTAGGAATCTATTTTCCATAGGGGTTAAATTAGATTGCATTCCCCGCCAACAGTGTAGAAGCATTCCCTTTTTTCCACACCCACACCAGCATCTGCTATTTTTTGACTTATCTTACTGGATATCCTTTCGTTAGGCGGTATCTCAGTGTGGTTTTGATTTGCATTTCTCTGATGATTAGTGAGGCTGTGCATTTTTTTCATGTATGTGTTGGCCACTTGTATATCTTCTTTTGAAACTATTCATGTCCTTTGCCTACTTTTTAATGGGGTTGTTTGTGTTCCCATTTCAGCTTATTTGGGTTCCTTGCAGATCCTGGATGTTAGGCCTTTGTCAGATACATGATTAGCAAATATTTCTTCTCATTCTGTGAATTGTCTCCCCCCTCTCTTGATGTTTTCTTTTGCAGCGCAAAAGCTTTTCAGTTTGATGGGGTCCCACTTGTCTATCTTAGTTTTTATGGCATTTGCTTTTGCGGATTTGGTCAAGAATTGGTTGCCTGCTCTGATGTGCATAAGAGTGTTTCCTACATTTTCTTCTATGATTCTTTTAGTTTGAGCTTTTACATTTAGGCCTTTGATCCACTTAGAGTCAATTTTGGTATGTGGTGATGGATTGGAGTCCAGTTTCATTCTTCTACACATGGTCATCCAGTTTTCCTAGCACCATTTGCTAAACAGGGTCTCCTTTCCCCAGTGGTTGTTATTGGTGGCTTTGACAAAGACAAGTTGGTTGAGAAACCAAGTTTTTGTTTTCAGAATATCTGCCCTGTTCCACTGGTCTATGTGCCTATTCTTGTACCAATACCAGGCTGTTTTTGTTACTGTAGCCTTGTAGTAAAGTTTAAAATCTGGAAGTATGATATTTCTCACTTTGTTCCTTTTGTTGAGGATTGTTTTGGCTATTTGTACTCTTTTATTTCCATATGAATTTGTGTATTGTCGTTTCCAAGTCTGAGAAAAATGATGATCAATATTTAGTTAAAAGTGTTTAAAATGGTTTTGTTCTCTAAATTGAATCTTTAGATTGCCTTTATTTGTAATTGTTTTTTGCCACTAATAAGTTGAATTTGGTCTCTAGGCAATGACTACTGAATTTCACCTGAATGAAGCCTCCCTAGTCTCCAGTGTGGGATTTACCAGGCTCCACCAACAATAAGCTAATATACTACAGGAAGCAAGGTCTGTTATCCTCGTTACACTTAGTCTTAGGAAAATTACAAAAGTGATTATTTGAATGCATTCTTTTTGTAAACACTTAGTGTCTGGATGTCTCTCCATTGGATCCACCCTAGATAATAGCCCAGGAGAGAGGACAAAGAGAGTTTTCTGGGCCATGTCTCTCAGTGTCACCTGCATTCCCAGCTGGGACCAGCGACGGTGAAATAAGTTGCAGTGATGCTCCCTGAAGGAGTACTCAGAGCATCTGGAGTTGAGTGTGGAAATGATGGGAGGTGGTGTGGAGGATGAACAACAGAATTCCACACAGGAAAGGTGAAGGGATCGATATAGACGGTCTTCCCTTCCAGGAAAAAGGATGAGTTGGCTGTTGATTAGGGCAAGTTACACCCTCCACCAAAGCCAGAGTTTCTCTATTACACTGTTTAGCAGTGGTGAGGATGTCAGGAGCCAACTGCAGGAAAATAGCTGACATCCTGACGCTCAGCAGGACCGGATTCTATAGGAATATGCAATTTCATTTTGAGCCAGAAATGTTCTTTCTCCTACTCTCCCGCCCCTTGCCTTTGTACCTGGCTAAGACCTATTCATATTTCTGATGTCAGCTTAAATATTACTTCCTCGTGGAGACTTCCTTGACAACTGTATCTAATTGTGTTCCCTTGTTGCTCTATCTTGCAGAACTCTCTGATTTTTCCTATTTCTCACAGGGAACACAAGCACACACATATATTATACATACATAAATATAGATATAGATAAAGATGATATAGATATATAGATATGTTTAGTTAAAAGTCTTTAAAATGGTTTTTTTCCCTAAATGGAAAACACTATGATGTTAGAAGTCCTAATTTGTATCACTATTTTTTAATACTGGCAGGAACTCAAGAGAAAATCGCTGCATTAGTGACAATAATGTGTTGAAAATGATGATGAGGTTTTTGATGTGTTCATGTGTCTGTTCATGAGTTGGAACATACCCCATATGAAAAATGTCGCATATGGTTGCAATTATTTGTCCACTGTCTGCTTCTCCCACTAGATTGTATCTCTTCACGGGCAGTTCTCTGGGACTTGTATACAGTCATGCACCACATAATGTTTTGGTCAATAGTGGGCCACATATATGACATTCTATGAGATTTAATGGGGCTGATAGATTTCTATTGCATCGTGACATATACCCATTGTAAAGTCATAGGAAGCAATGTGTTTGTGGTGATGCTGGTTAAAAAAACCTACTGCATTGTCAGTTGTATAAAAGTATCACACATACAGGCAGGGCACGGTAACTCATGCCTGTAATCCCAGCACTTTGGTAGACCGAGGTGGGAGGATCGCTGGAGCCCAGGTGTTCGATTCCAGCCTGGACCACGTAGCAAGACCTCATCTCTACAAAAATCACAAAACTAGCTGGATGTGGTGGTGCACACCTATAGTCCCACCTACTGGAGAGGCTAAGGTGGAAAGATCACCCGAGCCCAGGAAGTCAAGGTTGCAGTGTGCTGTGATCGTACCACTGCACTCCAGCCTGTATGACAGAGTAAGATCCTGACTAAAATAAAATAAAATAAAATAAAGGTAAAAGTATAGGACAACATTTATGTACAGTGCATAATACTTGAGAATGAAACAAAAAACTGTTACTGGTTTATGTATTTACTATACTCTACTTTTTATCATTATTTTAGAGTGTACTTCTTCTACTGCTGAGGAAAAAAGTTAACTGCGAAACTGAAACAACTTTAGGCAGGTCCTTTTGGAGGTAATCCAGAAGAAAGTAATGTTATGGGAGATGACTGCTCCGTGCATGCTGTTGCCCTTAAAGGACTAGAAGTGGAGGTAGAAGACAGTGATCTTAATGACCTTGATCCTGACCCTGTATAGGTCTAGGCTAATTTGTTTGTGCCTTAGTTTTCAACAAAAAAAGCATAAAAAGTAAAAATAAATAAAGTGAAAACCTTATTGAATAGAGTTATGAAGAAAAAATATTTGTATCAACTGAATGATGTAAGTGAATTTTTATTATGAAATAGTCAAAAAGTTTATAAAATAAAAAAGTTACACTAAGCTAAAGCCAATTTATTATTAAAGGAAGAAAAATATTTTCAAAAATAAACGCAGTGTAGCCTAAGTTTACGGTGTTTATAAAATCTACAGTTGTGTATTGTAATGTCCTGGATCTTCACATCCACTCAACACTCTTCCACCTACCCAGAGAAACTTCCAGTCCTGCATTCCATTCATGGTAAGTGCTGTATGCAGATGTACCATTTTGTATCCTTTGGACCATATTTTTACTGTACTTTTTCCATGTTTAAATATGTTTAGGTACACAAATACTTACCATTGTGTTACAATTGCTTACAGTATTCAGTACAGTAATGTGTTGTACAGTTTTGTAGTCTAGGAGCTCTTCCATATAGCCTAGATATGTAGCAGGATACCATCTACGTGTATGCAAGCACACTCTGTGATGTTCACACAAGACAGAATAACCTAATGATGCATTTCCTCCTCATTAAGCAATACATGACTGTGTTTTTGAATATCTAATATGCAACAATGGCTGTTGCAGAACATGTTGTAATTTATACATGTCTGGAACTGAAACTTGGGCACCTTCTGGGTTAGCACCAGAAGGAATGGATATATGGGATGATTTTGCATATGGATGGGGAGCATACTGGGTTTATACTACTTTATCCCCAGATTTCAATGTTTGCAATGTAAAGGGATTCAGGCAGCAGTGAGTGGTGAGGAAATAGCCCTTTTTCTGCATATAAACAGAATCGTCCAATACGTGCACAAAAAATAAAAGACACCTGCGTCTCAGGAGGTATAAGCATAGTGTAAACACCGTGTCTTCCCTCAGAAGTTGGCTCTTTCAGGTTTCAGTGACAAACGACTAAGGATATGAATGAGATGCCTGAGCTATTTTGAATTATTGGAGAAAAGCTAATGAAAATGATTACAGTCCCTAATTACTGCTTTATTGCATGTTTATTTATATATGTTTTGGCTAAGTATTACCTAATACATTTATTTTGTAGACAAAACACTTTAAGGAATTGAGCCTCTAATCATGAGACATAATAAAAGGAGCCTGTAATAATGCAAAATTTGTGAACTACATGTTTAGTGCATGAACGCCTCCCCAAGTCCATGCACGGTTGGAGTAGGTAAACTTATTTCTTGTCCTATAACCAGTATAGCATATAAGGTATGCTATTTGGTAATCAAGTCCTATTTTGTATGTCAATAATGCCATGTGATATACAATGTAATCTCTTAATTGGAGGAAGAATCAACTAGGAAAGTGGTGTGGCACCCAGGTTCCACTCTGTCAACTACTTAGTTATCTGATATTGGAGAAAGTTTGTAGTCTCGTTGAACTTCACTTTTCTTCTCTTGTAATACTGGGGATGCTTATAGTAATAACTAAACATACTTATTAACATTTATGTATGGGCTATCCTGTGATATGCATTTTTAAGCACCTTGAATTTATTAACTCCTTTAATCTTCATGTCAACTCTATGGGGTAGACTTTTAAGCAGTAATTTACCCTCAGATCAAGCTCTCCTACTCCTGGAAACACCTGAGCTCAACCTTCTCCACCATGAGCCTCAGACCCAACGCCACTTTCTCCTGGAACAGTGCCAGACCACCTAGTGTCCTGCAGGTGCTGCTGCTGCTGTCACTATTCCTGACTGCTCTGAGTCCCTCCACACAGGGACAAGCTAAGAGAAACTTACAGAAAGGAGAAGCTGGAAGCCCTGCTTCCCTGCATCTGTGGCTGCTCCTGTTGCCCCCATTATTGTCCCCATTTTAGAGATGAAACAGGTTCAGAGAGATTAAACAACCTGATCAAAGTTGCACAGCTAGAAAGTGGTGGCCAGGTTATCTAGTTATTCTTACTTCTGAAGATACATTTTTAACCAAAGCATAGCTATCTTGTGAAAATTTAATTAATGCAAGCAAATTAATGCCAGGCATACTAAAAGTGATTAATAAATTCAAGTCATTAGTATACCACATTAAAATGATAGAGATCATTAACTTAGTAAGCTTTGTTAGCCATAATTTTGAAATACTAAAGTGTAAAACAAAATGAAAACAGGAGAATTAAAGCGTTTTTCCTCAATAATTTAAAATGAATTACATATGACAACAAATCAATAGCAAATTTTGATTTCCTGTGAATACTACTGTAAGAAAGGTGTAGGTGCAAATCTTAGGAATTAGGAAATTAATGAAAGTTCTGTTGATTAAAAAAAGAATAATCAGTAGCCTAGTAATGTTTAAGTCCCTTAGTTTAGTTTTTTGTTTTTTTTTTTACAAGGCTGATTCTAATACTAGAATTGTGACCATGCAGATATTAAGTAAATGCAAATATATACAAACATGCCAGGGTAAAACCCTTAACATACAGTAAAATCTATCTTTTATTTCATTTTTTGTTCCAGAGAATATAGTTTTCAATAAAGTACATTAATTCTTTTTCATCATATATTTTTTGCTCTACTAGTGCTAAATATAGTCTCCTTACAGTCAATCGCCACAGTTTACAAAGACTTACACTCTACAATTGTATTAGTTTTAGAGTTTGAAGACTAAAATAAACATTGGAATAAACATTCAGAGAATGTTTTTAACAAAGTATCCTAGGACTAAAACACTGAAAACCTCTACTGAGTTCTTCAGTATCTTAAACAAAATTTATTGAGCAAGTATTCCATTCTGAGCTCTGTGTGATTCTTACTGTCATTGACCATTATGAAATCTAGACATGTGGGCATGTCTAGTCTAACAGCAAAGTAGAGGAGAAAAATAAACACAAATGTGTTTGAATAGAAATTTTTAAGTAAAGAAATGCAAACTACAGTGTAATGTTTAGTCAAGGATTAAGGAATAAATTCTGTATGTTGCTTATTTTCATCTGCTTTCTGTCATCTTTTAAGCAGCCTTCTTGGAATAAAATGCTATTTTTGGGACAGATCGGAAAACATACTCGAATTTTAATATGGTAAGAATAGGAGTCCTGGATAAATAAGAACTCTAGAAAGTCAGGTTTCAAAATCCTACCCTTCCCAAGAAGTCAAAAGGTGTGGTAGAAAGTGAACAGATTAAGCAGCTGATCCATCACCTTCCAATTTTTTCTGGACTATTTTCTTGATGCCAGGAGATTCTGGGTCCAGGCAGACTTCCCTCCCATCCTTCAGTGTGGCTCTACAAAAGAGAGTGGAATTATCTGTGGGTAGCCTGGACTGAATATCAGAACGGATTCCTGAAGCTAGAGAAAGCACTGTAGGTGGGAATGAGGGAGGAGGACTTCCCTGTGAGGCAATAACAGAAGCAGGGACTTACATCACTTCGACTTTGTTGCAGTGGGCTCCTGCCCTGATCACCTGCAAACTTTGGATGTTACGGGGATGCATTCCAGAGATCGTCTTCACACACATGCAGCGCAGCTCAATGAACCAGTCACTGTCGGCACTTTCCGCTAGGATAGAAAACATGACTCTATTAATGATCATGATTAATGATCATGATCATGACTTTAGGGTAACTGCACCTGTCTCATAAGGCCATTGTGAGCACAATCTGTAAAACTTCAGTTAGGTGCAAGCAGAACGCCCAGCACATGTGAAATGCCCACTAAGTGTGGAGTTACAAGTATGATGGCATTTTCCCACCCCAGGAGCACCAAGCTAGTCTTTTCCAAGATGCAGCTAAAGCAGGAGTACCCACAGCTGCAGGGACGCAGGGCTTCCACCTTCTCCTTTCCCTAAGTTTCTCTTACGTTGTCCATGTGTGGAGGGAACCAGAGCAGTCAGGAGCAGTGACAGCAGCAGTAGCACCTGCAGGACACTGAGCGTTCTGACACTGTTCCAGGAGAAAGTGGTGTTGGGTCTGAGGCTCATGGTGGAGAAGGCTGAGCTCAGGTTGTTTCCAGGGTCAGGAGAGCTCAGCCTGAGGGTGAATTGCTGCCTAGAAGTCTGCGGCTAAATAGCTTTTCATCCCTGCAGGTGTTATTTATACACTCCCTCAAAGTCAATAAGGAAGAAGAAGTAGGAAGCAGGAAGTGAGGGTATGTGGTGATATACACGTATAATTAGCTAAGTGGCTTTTCATCCCTGCAGATGTCACTTATATATACTCCTTTGAGGCCACTAAGAAGGAAGGGAGAAATGAGGGCATGTGGTGATATACACGTATAAGTGTGTCAAGCTGTGCCCAACCCAGATGGGTAAAATTCCTACTAAGCTGCATTTTATGTATCATTTTACATTCCTACTCTTTCTTCTCAACACCCAACTCCCTTACACACGTATAAGTGCTCTGCTTAGGGAATTAAGGATTAGACTGCATTTTCTTTTTGCCTTTCCTACAATGCTGTTTAGACTCAATAGACATACTATGAGAACTTGAAGCATTAACTTGTAGAGTTTGAAAAAGAGAGTTATCTTGCCTTTCCAGTTGTCAGAGAAAGCAGATGTTCCTGTGTTGGTTGTTGATAAATATTGGGATTGGTTTGGAGTATGTGGATAAAATATGAGCCAGTTACCAACAAAGGCTCACTTTGGTTATTAGCTTATGGGCTTCATTCTGTCTTCCAAATATACAATCTTTTGTAATTTAATCTAGAAACTACAAGGAAAACTCATCCTCCTTGGTGTTATGAAATAAGTTACTTGTTTCTACCATCTGAATATACTCTAAAAAGCAAGACCCAGCATATATTTTTCATTTTATTTTTAATTCATTAGAAAAATAGATATAACTTGTAAAAGATTCATATACTGCTGATGTGTGTAAAATAAAACATGCAACTTTCTCTTCATCACTATTCCACATTACTGATCTCCAGTAATGACCATTGGTAACAATTCGGCTTTCATTTTCTATTCAACGTGTATTTATACATGTGTATACATATACAGACAGACACACATAATACAAAGAGATATACATATACATAGAGATGCACAAAGGTCCTTTGTATACAAATGAGATCATGCTGTATGGATCACTATACAGCTTACTTTTTTCCTTAAAAAATATATGCCCAGCATCCTTTTTTTCTTCCTCAATGCAGTTTCGCCTCATTTTCTTTTATGGTTCCATGACACTCTGTGGTAAGGATAGTAATTGCTCAACTTTTGGTTTGTTGGTGACTTTGAGGGTGTCTTAGCTTTGATAGATTATAAATTGCAGTCACGACTTTGTTACTGAATTCTTGCACCTTAATTAAAACTTTTGATCTGAAATACTACATGATACAAGCTAACCCCCACAGAGATACAGTGTTAGACCTAGACATCACATACTAGCTTATATGTTATTGCTTGGATAGATGTCCCATCTATAAGACTTGCTTCTTCAATTGAATTGTACACTTTTAAAGCCAGATGTATCTCTTAGGTTTCTTTGAATGTCTCAGGTATCCTATAGCATGCAGGAGAAAGCAAATCACAGTAGGTCCTAAGCAGTGTTCGTGAGTAAATTAATGACTAAGTATCCCATAAAGGAACATTTCTCTTTCCCTTCTAATCAGCCACAATTCCCAAGTCAAATTCCACATGACCCCAAACACCTGTGGTATAAAAAAGGTGTAGAATTTCATTTGGAAGAATGGAAATAAAGAATGAGACAGATACTAGCAACCCTGGTCACACATTGTCTTCCTCTTACAACTAGGTATAAGTCTTACAGGATATTATTTAAACTTCCCGTATTAATTTTTTTTTTACTTTTCAAACTTTATATCTTCAGAAAAATATCTCAAAATACTAAATGTACAAAATTTCTTTCTAGAAAAAGAATGAATGCAGTAAATCTTTTAAAATAAGCTTTCAATTTTTTTTAAGTTTTCAAGCAAATTTTTTTCTGCTGTTTAATAGTTGCTGACTATGCCTACTTAAGTTTTTTGTTCCTGTTTTTCAGGATCTTCCTAATTTTTCTCCATCCCATTTTTTTTATAAATTAAAGTTTAGCAGTAGAACATATTGAACTAAAACTATTTTTCTCCCTGTATCAACACAGAAATGTATAGTCTTAGCAAGTTCAAAGGAAGGGCTTAAGCTGAATTTGTGCTCTTCTAAGAGCTAAGATGTGGAGTTTATTGTAGAGAGAAGCTCAGCAGGAAACAGAATAAGGTGAGAAACTTCTTCTTAGTTCTTCTTAAATGCCAACTTTATAAATTTTCCTAATTATTGTCATTGAAATATTATTAATCCTCAAGTCAGATACATTTTTATTCAAATATAAGCTCAAAACAATTTCCAGAGCAAGATATAAAGTTTTTTTTAAACACTGTTCATATTATCTTTTTCTGTTCTTCATAACCCCCAAACATACTGCTGAGAGTATTTAGTGGCTTCACTGGACACTTTTTTCTTTCCATAGTCACTATTCAAATTTCTTTCCTATCTCACTTAGTAAGATTACTCAAAAGTTCCTAATCTTTTTGAGGAAACTGTATGAAAAGTCTTGTGAAGTAATAATGTTATTTGAGTTTGTTGAAACCAGGAAAGAGGTGGGCATGTAGCACAGTATCATCAAGTCATTGTCTTAATGAATAAATGTTTCTTGTCCCAAAAGTTACATCCTCAGCAAGCTTCATGAGGAAGTATTAGCAAAGTTTTTGAGTCATTAAAATTTCACAAGTCTATTAGTCAGTATTTGATATAAAACAGCTTTCAATCGTTTTTTTATTTTAAAAAATTATTTAAACATCTACTCTGTGCCAGGCATTATGAAGTTCTGTTCTTTTTTTTTTCTTTTATTTATTTTTTTAATCGATATTTTTTATTTTGATATTGTGGGGTACAGTTAGGGGTTAGGTATACAAATATGCTTCATTCAGGCCCCCTTGTTGATAACTGGTGTCTCCCTG